ATCCATCATCCATCCATCCATCATCCATCCATCCATCATCCATCCATCCATCATCCATCCATCCATCCATCCATCCATCCATCATCCATCATCCATCCATCATCCATCCATCATCCATCCATCCATCATCCATCCATCCATCCATCCATCCATCCATCCATCATCCATCCATCCATCCATCCATCCATCCATCATCCATCAATGCATCCATCATCCATCATCCATCCATCCATCATCCATCCATCCATGCATCCATGATCCATCCATCATCCATCCATCATTCATCCATCCATCCATCATCCATCCATCCATCATCCATCCATCATCCATCCATCCATCATCCATCCATCATCCATCCATCCATTCATCCATCCATCATCCATCCATCCATCCATCATCCATCCATCATCCATCCATCCATCTATCCATCATCCATCCATCCATCATCCATCCATCCGTCCATCCATCATCCATCAATGCATCCATCATCCATCATACATCCATCATCCATACATCCATCATCCATCCATCCATCATCCATCAATTCATCCATCCATCCATCATCCATCCATCATCCATCATCCATCCATCCATCATCCATCAGGCATCCATCCATCCATCATCCATCCATCATCCATCCATCCATCCATCCATCCATCCATCCATCTCCATCCATCCATCCATCCATCCATCCATACATCCATCATCCATCCATCATCCATCCATCATCCATCCATCCATCATTCATCCATCATCCATCCATCATCCATCCATCATCCATCCATCCATCCATCCATCCATCCATCCATCCATCCATCATCCATCCATCATCCATCCATCCATCCATCCATCCATCATCCATCCATCCCAAGGAGGTGGCACTGTGTGTCCCAGGGGGTGGCATTGCTGTGCCCAGTGTCCCCACCATGGAATTCCGGGGATTCCCAGATGCCATTCCAGGCCCAGGTGATGTCACCGGGATTGGGATGAGGGGACAAAGTCCTGAGCGGGGATGAGGACACGCAGGGCCTGTCCTGAACCCTAAACCCCAAATCCCCAGTCCTGAATCTTAAATCCCAGATCCCAAATCCCAGTGTCCCCAGGGGTGTCCCCAGGTGTCCCCAGGGGTGTCCCCAGGGGTGTCCCCAGGGGTGTCCCAGGTGTCCCCAGGGGTGTCCCCAGGTGTCCCCCAGGGGTGGCACTGGGTGCCGGGCTCGGGCGGTGTCGCCGAGCGGGGCTGGCTGTGACAGGGCAGTGCCACCAGCAGGGGTCCCCTGAGCACAGCGCCTGGAGCTGCTGGGGACACTGACACATGTGACACTCAGTGACATTGGGGGCACTGCCTTTGGTGACACTGTCCCTGTCCCTGTCACTGTCCCTGTCACTGCCATCGGTGCCATCGGTCCCCTGCTGTCCCTTGGTCCCCCCCGGGCGGCGCCGCTGGGCCTGGAGAGGGGGAGGAGGGAGGGGAGCGATCCCAAAGGATCCAGGATGTTATTCCAGATCCATCAGTGATCCCAAAGGATCCAGGATGTTATTCCAGATCCATCAGTGATCCCAAAGGATCCAGGACGTTATTCCAGATCCATCAGTGATCCCAAAGGATCCAGGACGTTATTCCTGATCCATCGGTGATCCCAAAGGATCCAGGATGTTATTCCCGGAGTCACTGGGCTATGGGATCGGGATCAGCTTTTCCCTGCCCCAATCCCGCCCCAAAGCTCATCCATCCCAAAAAATGGGGCAAAATGGGGCTGGCACTTCCAGGGGGGCAGAACAGCTCCCAAAAAACCCCAAATCCTGGGAAAAGGGGGTCTCAAAACTCCACAAAAATCCCACTGTCCCAAATTTCCCTTCCATGCTGGGAAAATCCCGTTGTTCCGGGAGGAGCAGAAGCCTCTCCGGGTGTTTTCGGGGCCGTTGGGGCTCTGCTGGAACGCTGTTGATGATCCCGATGGGATGCGATCAATAATTCACAGCCACATCCATCAATTCCTAAAGCAACGCCGGGAAAAGGGATGGGAGCAGGAGAGGGGGAAAACGGGAATGGGGAAATCATGGGATAAACCCGGCCTGGCTACGGAAATGGATTTGTGCCATCCATGGATCCATCCAGGGATCACAGCCATCCATCCATGGGATGTGGGGAATGGGAATGGGGATGGGGAATGGTGATGGGGAATATGGGATGGGAATGTGGGATGGGGAATGGGAATGTGGGATGGGGATGGGAATGGGGAATGGGAATGGGGAATGGAGAGCAGGGAATGGGGAATGGGAAATGGGGATGGGAATGGGAATGTGGGATGGGAATGGAGAACGGGGAATGGGGAATGGGCGCGGCAG